AAATATCTTAAGTTTTAAAATATAAATGAGACTATTTTAATCTTTTTTTTTTTCATATTGCTTATTGAAATGATATAATTTTAAATATTTTTTCATTTAATTCTTTTATAAGTTTGATTGATTGACATTAATCACAATTTTAATAGTTACTAGTGTATTTAATTAAGCCTAATCATAATTACCTATTTCACCGAAATTAGACATTTTAACATTTTTAATATTAATTGTCTATTTTTCCTCTTGCCACCGTTGCTAGGATTTTCCCTCTCCGACGAGCGAGCATCTCACCTAGGTATTTCTCCCTATTTTAAGGGCCCCCTCTCCTCTGTTTCCTGCTTTTGTCTTGGTTCCTTATTCCTTTCATGATTTCGAATTGGATATTGGTCTAGATTTGTTGAGGCCTCAGGGAGGACTTTGCAATTTCATAATTCAAGATGCTTTGTTTCCTGCACAAGCTTGGTATCGTCTTCCTCTCTGCAACAAAGCGAACAGTTACTTAGATGAATCTAATTTGCATAGATTTAGGGTTTGCACACTGTTTGCTGTCAATTGTGCTGGTAGGAGGGTGGATTGGCTCTGCTTTTGGACATGTGATTTTCAGTTGCAATTATCATCTGTTTCTCAGTCCTTATAGATGTTGAAATTGTTGATCCGAGTGGTTGTCACTAGAGGTTAATTGGGTTTTATGGCCGAAAACAAAAGGAAAGGGATGCTGTTGGTGAAGCCAGTTGCGTTCTGCAAGGGAAGAATGACATTGAAGTCAGTAAAGGGGCTCTAGTTCCCTTAATGAGTTTTGACAGCAAGGGCTTGAAGAGAATTGGAAAAGATGAGACCATGGTTGGGAGCACATGGAGACGAGTGGGGTGCCTTGTGCTTATATGGAGGAAGACCATGCCCCTCCTGTTGGTAATTCTTTAAGAATGGATAGGACAACGACTTACGGGTTGGGGACTATTTGTTGTCGAAATTCCTTGCTCTTCCCATGAAGCTGGTTAAATATGTAAGGATGTCCAATAGCTTCTGATGCTTATAGTGACTATCCTTTCTACATTAGTAGCCCTATTTAGCCTATACAGCTATTGTAATTTCAATTTCTGGTTGCAGATAGCTCTCTTTACTTAATTGTCTATATCCGTCGTAGGTATAGTTTAAATCTGTTACTAGTGTTGTAGGTTATGCTTTTGATTTTGTCTTTAGAATATGCTACTTTAGGTTATGCTACTTTAAATTACAATGCTAGATTCTGCTGTAATTTCTTATTATTTAATATATTTCTTTATTTCCTATCAGAAAAAAAAAAATACCTATCTCATAGTTTCCCAAATATAGATTTATATTAAGGGTATTGTGGGCTTTTTGAAAAATCTCTTATACTCTTATGATAAATTTAATCAATGAAATTTCACTTGTTTAAGACATAAAAATTAAAATCTATTGCAGACCCAATAGTTTTATATATATATATATATCTGATTGTAAGGTGCACTTCCAGTTTTTAAGAATCAAAACATAAAAAAAAAAAAGGAATACAAATTTTGTTATTTTTTATTTAAAAATGTGAATTCTATCAATTTTTAAATAAAGTAATTTTTTTTAAGGACAATTATACATGCACCCACAAAATCAACACACAACTCAACACCCAAGGCATATGAACAGTAAAATTACAAATTTACCCCTCCTCATTTTAACCTTGGTGTTGAGATGGGTTTTGATTTTGTGGGTGTACATATAATTGTCCATTTTTTAAATTTATAGTTAAAAATGTTAACTTTAAATTTTTTTATTTAAATATATTAATTTTGTATTTTTATATTTAATAATTAATTAAAAAGTGATGTTAATGTGATAAATAATTTTTTAGTCATCTAATTAATTTTTAAATAAAAAATAAAAAATTAATATTTAAAAAAAATTAAAATTTATCATCTTATTTAAAGATCAATAAAATTTATACTTTTAAATAAAAAATAAAAAAATTAATATCCTTATGCACATATTTTTTTTTTCTAAAAAACCACTTTAAAATGCAATTTTTAATTTTTTTAATAAAATTTCCCTTTGTTTTTCCTTTTAAACTTGCCAAACAACTCACCATCTGCTGAGGCGGTCACTTGTCACTACTGCTAAAATGAAAGTTCTTTTCCCCGCCAAAATTAAGAACTTTTGTTTGAGTTCAACTTTGATCTCACTCTGCAAAACCTACTTCTCTCGATTCCTGGGAAACCACCGTTTCCATCCACAGAATCAACAATGGAGAAAGGCCTGATATCAGTAGACCGGTGGACCAAAGGCAGCCAGGCCTACTTCCTGACTCACTTGCACGCGGACCACACCCAGGGTCTGACCTCTACCTGGGCCGAGGGTCCCCTCTTCTGCTCCCGCCTTACCGCCAAGCTCTTCCCCTTCAGATTCCCTAACTTCCGCCTCTCGTTGCTTCGCATCCTCGATCTCGGCTCCTGGCATTCCATCTCTCTTATTTCCCCTTCCACGGGTTCTAGGGTTACAGTTGAAGTCTTGGCAATTGATGCTCACCATTGTCCTGGTAAGAAGCCATGTCGCTATTTTACTGCATTTGAACCAATTTTTATCTTGATTGAAAGGTCCAATTGCTGAATAAATATGCTTGTAGATGATTAGCCGGTGTATGTATGCTCCATTGGCTGGAAAGGAAAATGATAGAAGTGCAATGTTAGTGTGCACAATAGTTTGTACAATATGAAGTGATATTTTATGGTTTACTCTTTTTATTCTGGGCCACAAATGAATCGGAATGCATCCACTCATATATTGTCATGCTATATTGCATAAAGCATTGCCCAAAAGAAAAAAATTGTACTTATAGAGCTTTGTTGGGCTGGAAAAACCTGTAGTGGAAACTGTTAATAGTACTTTTCCTCTTTGAGATTAATGTTTGAGTGTTTTTCTTAATGTTTGGTTTACACTGTTGAATCCTAATGAACTGCTTATTTCATTTAATCTTGTATGAGCTGTGTATCGGTGAGTGATTAGAATCTAGCTATTAACTTTGATGGTTCCTTAATAGGGAAGGGGTGGAAAATCGATAGATGTAGGTTTTAAGCCTTAATTAGGAGTCTGTTTATCTTAACGTTAGTAAGTGTGTGAGCTTGAAACACTAGGCTTCATGATGCCATTATTTATGTTTTAATTTCTGTCAACATTGGGAGAATTCAAAATTGAATAACAGAAGAAAACAATAGAGTAAGCATACTGTTTAATTGATATAACCTCCTAAAATATTTCTAATGAGCTGCTCATTCTAAAACATTCAAAGGTCCTGATCAGGCCATTGTAATTAACAAGGAAAAAAAATGAGGGTCCAAGTCTAACAATCTGGTAAGGAACAATTGACAGTTCTTTCATAAACATGCTTAGCAGGGTATCTTTGGCTATGCATAACAATAGACTTGGATGGGAGTGTATATGATTCGCTAGGCTCTGTCTAGGTTATAGGTAGTTTCTTAGTTCTGTGGGATGTAAATTGCCCTCAAACCATTTTTTTTTTCTTTTCCATTGGTATTCTTCTTTTGTGGAGCATTTTTGTTGTGGGGGTGGGGGGTGGGAATCACTTGGGGAGGTGAACAACTGGAAAATGTTCCCCATTCAGAAAGGATTGCTCAATTGGATTGAACCAAGGAATTATGAAACACCAAGCTGTCAGGCTTAGAGCACACACCAGTGGGCTATCATAGCCACTAGCTAGTACTTTGGTCAATAGTTGAAACTGTTGCCAGTTTTTTAATATTTTTTGCTCCTAAATGAAATGAATTAATTTTTTTGACATTACAGTTTGTCAAGTAAAGCTTTAGGTTGAAATTGAAATTCTGTTTGATGCACTTGGTTTTTTCACAGCTGGGAGGATGGTGGCACATATTGTCTACAAGGTTATAATTTATAAAAACTACATGAACTTTACCTTCTTTTATTGAATAATTGTGTTTACGTGTCTTACAAATGCTATAGGAATTCAGGAAATAGATAGATTGAGGTCAGTTCTTCATGTGTTCCAAAAATAAATATTTGTTTGAATTTTATAGTTATATGTGGCACACTTGTTTTTGAGTTTTACTCCTACAATTATTGGAGAGAATGTTGTTAGATCTCTTGTCCTCTGTTCTTATGGTTGCATTACATTTTAGTATAGATGTAACTCAAGCCACTTTCTCATTAAACAAAAAGTGCACAATGTTTGTTTACTTATATAATTTTAAAATGCATTTACCATTAAGGTTGTTTCATTATCATTTTTTTCCTGCCTTTTTCAATATGGTATATAAGAAATAAGAAGCTCAAATACTGTGTTCCTTGCTTTGGCCCCCAACCCCAAATTCCTATCTTAATCTTAAAGAAAGGTACTCGCTTAATAATTCATGTTTTAAATATATGGCAGGTGCAGTTATGTTCTTGTTTCGTGGAGAGTTTGGATGCTTGCTGTACACAGGTGATTTCCGTTGGGAGATATGTTCCGAGAGAGCAAAAGTAGGCAGGGAAATTCTCTTCAATGCTCTGAAGGATAGTGAAGTTGACATCCTTTACTTGGATAACACGTATTGTAATCCATCATTTGCATTTCCCTCTAGAGAAGTTGCAGCCAAGCAGGTGAGCTTTGCATCTAGACGATTTGGGGGATACGAGGAAACTACATATATATATTTATATATATTTCATTGAACTTTAGTAATTACTGGGGATAGGGTGGGGGATTTTATGAGGCATGGGTGAGGTTAGAACCTTTAACCCTTGGATGTTCACCCACAATGCAAAGTGGCTTTGCCACTTGCCCTACAATTGGGGAACAAAGGAAAAACTACATAGTTGGATGATTAAAAATGGATCTTTCGTTATTTATTTATTATTTTACCTATTAGGAGGAAAAACTACGTACTCTGCCTTTTGTCAAAAGATTTATTTATTTTGTTTTATTTTTTGTACATTTCATCACCTAAAGGCAATTTTGAAAATTGGAGATTTATCTGCTTGTGGATTTTATGGGGATCATGGTCAGATGAAGTTTCTTTGGGGAAAAAAAAGAGAAAAAAAGAAAGAAAGGAAGAAAGAAAGAAAGAAAGAAAGAAAGAAAGAAAGAAAGGAGCCCTGCTAAAGCTGTCTGAAGAATAGAACAGAGACTGAAAGTTATGATATATCGAGACATATGTATGAAATACTTTGCTCTTCTTGTTCTGGATGATAATACAAGCATTCCACAGATATCCCTGAGAAATTGAAATTTTAATATTTCTTGAAGTTAATAACATGTGATGGAGAAATATGTATGAAATATGACTATAGTATTTGTCAGTTAAATAATAATCTAAGAAGCTAAAGAACATTTGAAAGAAAAGGTCAGAGGCCTGGGATCATCAATAGAAAGGTCTTTGTTTTTGACTTTTGCCTTTCTTACTTCTTTAATTCCTTCCTGATTACAGGTTGTTGATATAATTGCCTCCCATCCAGATCATGATATCATCATTGGGATTGACTCCCTGGGCAAGGAAGATCTTTTGCTTCATATTGCACAGGCACTTGATACAAAGGTATGTTCATCCTATTTGAATCAGTTGATCATCTTGAGATCTCTTGAAGATTATAACTTGGAAAGGCAGATGCTTGGCTTATTATATTTGTTCTAAGTTGACAGATGATCAAACAAATTTACTGTTCAGAAACTGGGGAAATAATTTATAACTAAGATGTAATATATTCAAGCTAACTTTAAATTATCTGCTTGGATAGCTGGTAAAAAATGAACAAATCTTCTGCTCATTTAAAACTATGTTTGTGATTATGGATTTCCCTGTAATCTCTCCCTTCGGTGCATCCCTACTCATGGGAAGATCCAACTAGTCTATAAAAATGTTTATTGTTGAGTATTTACACGTCTTTCTTGAAAGTAAGGTGGTTTGATGTGAACATTACTACTTCTTTGTCTTTTGACTATAATTTTTGGTGATGTAATCAGTTTGTGTTTAGCCTCGCTTTTGCTGTTTTATTCATCTAGATTTGGGTGTGGCCTGAGCGCCTTCAGACCATGCATCTCCTTGGGTTCTATGACATTTTTACAACCCAAACTTCTCTCACCAGAGTGCGAGCTGTTCCTCGTTACAGTTTTAGCATTGAAACTTTAGAGGGATTAAACACAATTCGCCCAACTATAGGAATCATGCCATCTGGTCTTCCATGGTTGATTAAACCCCCTAAAGGAGATGACAAACTTTCTGGTTCCTTTTTAACTTGCCGTTACAACAGAAGCAAAATGGGCCCTAATGGTGGAATGCAGACTGATAAGCTTAGTGGCATTTTAGGATCTGTGGAAAGGTTTCACAAGTACATGTATTCTGTTCCCTATTCTGACCACTCATGCTATGCAGAGATAGAGCAATTCATAAAGCTTGTCCAACCAACCAACATGAAAGGCATTTTGTCTTCATCATCTTGTTATGTTGATCCTCTCTACTACTTTGGTCGTCTCTGTGGATTAAACCTATCATCTAGCAGATTTGACCGTACACATCAAAAGAAAGGAGGCAAAAGAATTGTAAGTAGCAGCTCTACAGAAGTCACAAAGAGAAGAAAAAAGTCTCTGGGTCATTTAGGAGGTCGTCTGAGCAGGGTACATTCACTGAGGAGATCACAACGAGGTGCAAAGATTGCTGAGAACGACTGTCCTGATTAACTAGAGCTGAATGCTGGCTTGAAGAAATTACTTCTGAATTGAAGATGCAAGCTTCAATTTGTATTAAGTTGCAGCACTTCAGGTGAATGGCATTTTACAGAACATGGAGATATTGCAAGTAGTCAGTGCTCAGTATAGTTGGTATGGATTCTTCATCTTTTACTCTTGATATGTAGAAAGGCTACATCAGTATTAAATTCTGATTAGATATATAAGTAGGCACTAAAGTTTGAAGTGTTGTGGTTTTTTAGGTGATAAACTGATAATATATGTGTTGAGATCACACTACAGTAGGATTTACGCAATGGAAGTTCATTTTTGGTCATCAAGAAAGGTATTTTTTCCAGTAATTTTCTTGGTTTAAATCATCTTGCTCTGGAAAGTGGTAGTTTTGCAATCTTGTATACCTATGTTGCATTGCATCTCCTTGATTATGCAAATGTGCTTGTAAAGTCATTCGAGGATTATATAGAGAAATTTAACCAAGCTGAAAGAGTGCTTAGCATTAATTCAACCAACATGGCAACATGTCAAATTTAGGGGGGGAGGGGGAATTGAATTGAACCAAAGTCGTGAACCTGGTAGGTGTACCCATCAATTTGTTGGGCTGACAGCCTGGGTACCCAACGTGTCAAATCTTAAGGATTGCAAGCTTCCTCACAAGGGTCAAGAGCGATCTTTGCCCAAGCCTGTTTGGTTTCTAAGTTTGGGTTGATTTTCAATCCAATGCATAAATGAGTCAAGGGTTAGTGCTTTTAATAATCTGGCCTTTATTGTGTGGTGGAAAGAATGGGTTAGGTTAGCTGTATGGTCCCTGCTAACTATTTTCGCCTACACCTAATTTGTAAGAGAAGTTCATGGCTATGGATAGACTGGCCTGTACTTGTCGCGCGCACAATCGCTAGTTCGACAGTCTTGGTTTTGCTATTGGGTGAATTGGTCTCATGGGGTCCCCCATGCCCCAGCAATAGAAAGAAATGGTCTCTTGGGCCATGTGATTATATCTACTTATATGGCTTAATTAATTAATTATTGATTATATTCAAGAAAAGAATTAAAATAAGATAAAAAGCAGATCGAGACAAGAGAAAGAAGGGTTGATTAGGAAAATCCTAGTCTTCTTCTAGTGCTGTTTTCATATGGTTGTTGGTGAGTAATTGTTGATTACGTTAAGCATTAGGTTAAATGCTAAATTTGGTCCCTTAACTTTAGTGAGTTACACATTTTTGGTCCTTCAACAATTTTTTGCACTTTTTTGATTCCTCAACTATGCAAAATGCACTCCGTTAGTCCTTCTGTCAATTTTCGCCGTTAACTTCGCCACATGACATTTTTTATATTTTTTGTTGATGACATGGCAAAAATAACTTAAAAAGACACTGATTTGGACTTTTTTTGCGACATGTCATCGTTCTTTCTCATCTTCACTCTCTGCAAAATCAATCTCCACTCCATCTGCAGAATAATCTCCACTCCATCTGCAGAATAATCTCCACTCCATCTGCAGAATCAATCTTAACCCATTTCTTCTTCTTCTCTAAATGCTCTAATCAATCAAACTCTCAAATTTATTAATCAAACAAAACTCTAATCAAATTCCAACAAAAATACAATCAAATTGTAAATCAACTCTCAATTTTATTAACAACTAAAAATGAAAATCGGAAAAAGAATGAAAAAACATGAATCCATCATCAAAACAGCGAAATTGGCTTCATCGGAACCCAGTTGGGTCTCGTCGAACCCAGCAGCTGGGTTCGGGGAAACCCAACAAGGCTAGGTTCGACGAGACCCAGCAGGGTTCGTCGGAACCCAGCCTTGCTGGGTTCGGGGAAACCCAGCTAGGCTGGGTTTGTCGAACCTAGCCTGCTGGGTTCTGACGAGACTCGGCAAGCTGGGTTCCGACGAGACCCAGAGCAGCCATCAGAAGTGGAGACCCAAGGCAAGAAAGAAAGAAAGAAAGAGAAAGAAAGAAGGGGAAGAAGAGGGATTGGGTGGGTAAGGGTAGTTAGGTAATTTTATTAGTTTTTATTTAAACTATAAATATTAATCTTACGTGTCATTTTTTTTATTTATATAACATAATTAAAATATATATTATTGCCACATCATCAAAAAAATTAAAAGATAATGCCACATGAAATTATTTAACTATCACATCATATTTAATTGACGGAGAGACCAAAACTGTGCAATTTTTAGAGTCGAGGGATAAAAAAAATGTAAAAAATTGTTGAGGGATAAAAATGTGCATTTCTTAAAGTTAAGGGACTAAATTTAACATTTAACCTAAGTATTATAAAGTGATTGACTGAGTCCATTATAAAGTGATGGACTGGGTCCATTATAACGTGATTGACTGAGTCCAATTTGATAATTAAGAAGCTGATTATCATCCAGCGGTGGTAAGGTGTCAAACAAAGCCAATTTTTCATGATCAAATACTGATTCTTTGGTTCAGATGGATGCGTGTGCTAGCTTTTGTTAGAGCCCTTTTTTATTTTATTTATTTTATTTGTTTACTTTAAGTTACATAGTAGGTAATTTTCTCTCATATTTTAACTTATTATATTTACATACTTATAATTTTAATTTAAATTTTTTTTATTAAAATAAATAAATAAATATAAAATTACTTACGTCATTTAACCTTTTTCAATGATACGTGATGGTCACTTGTCTTTTGGGTAACTCTTTTTAGATTTTCAACGTTAATTATCTTAAATTCGTACTTCTAGTGGACTGTGCTGTTGTTGGTCACCTTGGCTTTTAGTTCAGAAGGTGCAGTATTTTGAATTTTTGATTGTATTTGTGAATTTTGAAACAACTGTTTTCAACTTTTAAAATAGTAGAAGTTGAAGCTCCAAAATGTGTAATTTCTAAAGTATAGCTTTTTCTGTTTTTTTTTTTTTTAATTTGATAATTTTGATGGATTTCTAAATTTTGTTATGATTATTTTATATGAATTTAGAATTTATACTTAAACACTGCTAAAAAAAAAACTACTTAAATATGATTAATTTTTAAATTTGTTTGATTTCTCTCGAAAGGAAAATTTTTGGTTTCTCATATATGATGTATGTATATTTGTTATTCTTTTTAATTTTAAATTATACAATGTAAAATAACCTTTCCTTATCATGTTATACACCCCACTTATGTTTGTAAATTAAAGTTTTTAATTTAAAAAAAGAAATTAAACGCTGAATTATTTTTCAGTGGTTAGCCTATGTATTGATGCCAATGTTATTTGTCAGCATTAGCCTTGTTTCTCTGACTTCTGTCACTTTAGCCCTGGTATCACGGCGAAGATTAGTCATTAATATTTTTATGAATAATAATAAATAAAATTAAAATTTAAGATTAAAATTTAAAATTAATAATATGATATAAGTCATATTATTTAACATATTAAAAATTAAATTTTATATTATTTAATAATTAATTTTTTTAAAAATATAATATTATATATATTTATTAATTTAATAATATAAACATAAACATCATGTTATTAATCTCAAATTTTTATCGTCCCTCTCAATTCATGATTTTAATAATTTCAAGTCTCTATCAGACGACTCTGGCGGCAACAATACAAGCCTTCTAGAAGTTGAAATAAATCCAGGAACTTTTTGTGGCTGACAGTGGTATATACAAGATAGGGTTTGAACGGTTCTTTATTCAACTGGTTATTTGCAAATAAAAACGATTGGTGGAAATCTATGTAGAAAAATGTTGAACCATTCTTTATTCAACTGGTTATTTGCA